ACCACCACCACCACCACCACCACCACCACCACCACCACCACCACCACCACCACCACTGACATCGGTGTCGGGAATCAGCTTCACTTTACCAACCACACCGAGGCGGAACTCACAGGTGCATAGTTAGAATCAGAACTGAAAAGGCGAAAGGAACTTACAGCCTTTTGCACAACTTTAAAAAGACACGTGAACAAACAGGCGATTGAGGAACATTGAAGGTACCTTACGTGGATGTCCTCGAATGTGGTACGCATAATTTAAAAACCCAGTTAATACTACTTAACAGTACTAATTTACTAGCAATCCTTACTCAAATGAAAATCTTCGGCTTTAGAAATTTGGCTACTAGCGTTTAAAGCGGCGCGCCAAAACCCAAACACCTACACGCCTAAGTATGAGCAGATTTTATTGAACCACTCGGTACAAAGTAAGCCACCAGTTGGTACATTTGGACACACCCGAGAAAACCCTAAAGGAAACATGTGAAGTCGTTTCCGGGAAAGTGGCGGTTTTGGGGTTGATTATCCCTGTGCGATTTTAAAAAAGGTCGATGAATTTGCAGGAAAACGTAAACAACTGAGTGGTATTTCTGCAAAATTAACTCGAAAAAGTGATGCACGCAAATACGACTGTATCAAGTCAAAGGAGAGAGCCTAAATTGTTTGGAGGGAGGTGGTCACCGGTAGTAAACACCCAGACCTCTTTTTTTCCTACCACTTATTTAATTTTTTTTCGAAATATGGTGAATGCTAGTTACGAGAAAACTTTGCTCCCATCACCGACTGCTTTAAATGACCCCGTAGTACAACGATTCAGTGAATTGGCCTTTTGTGTGACGAATTTTTTGATAGTGAATAATTTATTGCAATTTCTCTCTGGTTTTTTACAATTCCGTAAATGCAATGCGGGACTAATTTTGACAGCTCGCTGTCCAACCAGCTAAATTTGCACTCGACATGACGACGTTTGCGTATTCTCGGATTTGCCCTTTTGTGTAACCGATCGCACAAATTAAATTTGCATGAAAAAGCAGCACACACGCAGATCCTACCTTTGCTGCGATTCTAAAATGCGAAAATTTGCATTTATAGCCGAAGGGCTGATTTAAGAATCAAACCGTCGTGAAGGTTTTCGATTTAACTGGGCCACAGTACCCGAATTCTCACGATTTTTTCAACCTATTTTGTATGCAAACACCTCTGCTAATGGTTCGGCCCCAGTTTGAACGCGCAAAATACTGCCGAAAACAGCTCAGCCCTTTTTGTGCCATTGAGTTTATTTGAGGAAGTTTCAGCCAGCCTAAAGTAAGCCATTTTTTACCTCTAGCCTGCCCCTGTGTTGCTTGCCGCAGTCTCGAAATCGGAATTCAGAGATTGCCTGCAACTGTTGCCTTCGTTACCACTGGGGGAGGTGGGCTGGCGCTCAGGTAAGCAATCGATAATTCGCGATACACATGCACACACTGCACTAATTAATCACCGGACCTTGGAATTGTTTATTTTACACAGGGAAAATGCGCCTAAATTCGAACAGGCTTTACCACGGGAAAATGTCGTCTCTAAATGGGTCCTTACTTGTTGCCTCCGTGGTGAGGTTCGTTGTGGCGGAGAAAGCTGCTTGCAAGCCCTCGCCAGCAGACGCGCGGCGCGTTTCTGCAGTCGTAATTTTCGTCGTCTGGATTTGAGACGTTTATGGTGGGACGTGGAGTCAGGGGGATTCGACAGGAACTGGTCGACAGCATGTTTAATTTCCAAGCCTCGCTCGGTTTTGAGGGAGGGTTTCAGGGAGAGGTTCAGCGGACACCCACGACTTCCAAAGCTCTAAAACATTATGCGTGTCAGCGATTTTAGTTAAAAACAGTTTTGCATTCTGGGTCAAGTGGTTTAAGTGCCGCTTTCTTAAGAGGATGATCATAAAATTTCGCTAGTGCAATTCCCAAACAACCAATATTGTCAGACTACTCTTTAACGAAGATGTATGCTGCCAAAATGACTTTGCAAATGGATGGCATATGCAGTCTTTCAAGGCCGAAGAATCTAAATGGGATTGAAGGCATTATGATGGCAAATTCACTTCCATACACTGAAGTAGTCCTGCCTGAGGTCCACCACAGTCGGGAATCAAGTATACACAAATTACTTGTAGCACTGGTTTGTGGACATCTTGGGCTATACGTGAGTAGCAAAATCCCGTCTTGTGGTCATTTTATTGCCGATATTAACGCCTGATATCTTTGTGAATCACGAGAACACTTCCCACTCCTCCTCTTCCTCTTCCTACCATCATTTTAGCAACATATTCAAAGTTGCCAATGACAAGACTGAATTCTACGAGATTAGAAGTTGATACAAGCGCAACTGACCAAAAAATCAGTAAACAAGTCCACCCAGTGTGTCAAGTAAACCACCAGTAATCTAGTCTAGCAATGATTTCGAAGTTGTTCTCTGAGCACAACCATATTATTTTCGGTTTTCCTCCCTGAATACAGTTGCTTTTAAAGAAATTGAAGTCTGATATACCTCTTGCATATCTTCTGAGTTCATGGATCCGTTGGCTTGGTTTTGTTGATGTGGACTCCTGTCTACGGGAGAACGTGGGTTGGGCTTCGAGAAAGACCACGGCGTCATAATCGGAGGCTGGATCATCTGAACGTCTTCTCTGCCAGGTGCTCCCAGGGAACCGTATTCCGCGTTCCCTTCCAAGGACTGGTGCTGCTTTCCAGGTTTGCTGAAATCAAGAGGTGCCATCGCTGGCCCCTTAAGTCCAGCCCCTGCCGATGCCGATGCTGCTACTGCCGACTGATCCGTGATTCCGTGCTTGTTCGCCTTGTGTGTCCGCAGGAAGTACTTATTGCAGATCCACTTGTTACAGATATCACAAAGGACGCGCATTTGATTGGGCGACTTGCGTGGAGTTGTGCTGATGGAGCCGTTTGAGAGGGCCCCCTTGGCAGCCAGACCAGAGGCGGCGAGGTGGACGGGGTTCCACTTGGTAGTGTTCACCATCATCCCAGACGTGGGTTGTGAAGGGGGCAATGGGGGCGTCGGGTACAGTCCGGGCGAGGATGAAAGCAGCCCCAAGGGTGGGGGCAACAGCAAGGGAGTGGTCGGGGTTGTTGCTATGGTTGCCAGATCGAAGCCACTACCCGCAGCGCTAACTTCGTTCACTGTACGTACAAAAAGACGGGCACATATCAGTCTCCTTCCTTTCACATGGAAACCAGACGCCCAATTAATGGAAGTACAGTCCCACCTCCCCTCCCTCCCTCTGCTCGTGGTCTCGCGGGCACAGAACCGTGATTGAATACTACACAGTCTGAAAACCGCCGACACCGCTACTGCAGGCGTGTGAGCGAAGTGATAGAAGACATGTGTTCGGGGCGAATTTTTTTAAAATGCCTTCTTTGGGTCTAGAACTCTTGAATGTCAGTGTGATGGCAACAGCCGCGTGCCTGTATTTTAAAAAGGTGCTTTCTTTAACATCACCAAAAAATTTCACTCCAAGTGTATACGTGGGTGAGTACGAGAGTTGTGTTTAGAACTTTCCCAGTAGTATTTAAATATTTTTACACATAATGTGTAGACCGAAAGCCAGATTTGCATAATACGAAGTGATCAAATTTGCTGATATGCGAAGCACTTGTGAGATTGCCGAATATATCAAAAGGCGGCGCGAAATGCTTTAGGCACTTAACCAAGAAGAAAAGAAGAATGTCAACGACAAAACATTCATTGAAAAGTCCAGTTATGCGAAATGTCTAATAACGGCATGCCAGTGAAGTTAGAGATGGTCAGCATTAATCGTAGTTCCTCGTGCACGTCATAGCCGAAACAATTGCTTTCCTTCGTGAGATAACCCATATGATCAGCCTTAGGGTAAATTTCGGCATTTTATTTACGCTTGTCAAGTGGCAGAAAATACTACTAACACCTTCGTAGACATTTGTACAGAACCAAAAATCATTCTAGTAACGGTTGTGTCGGGTCGGTAAAGTACCTTGAGAAATCTGTTATCATTCGCAATCCAGTTGCAGAAATTTGTCATTTCTCTCTGACCTCTTCCGAAAAAGAATAGACATCTAATTACCTTATCTAATATGCACTGTCCCTCACAAAAAAACTTATTTAACCGCAATCTCAATATGAGCGTGCACAGGTAATCGCAGTAGCTTTAGCCTCTTGGGTTGTGAAAATGCCGTTTCGAAGTCATCCTCGTGATTCAGTCAAATGGAAGTCCTTTGCCCAGATCCATTTAATCCTGTACATTAAGGATTTGTCTAACTTACTTGAAATCGGTGGTGCAAGCATTCCATTCACAGTGTGGGTTACACTGATGTTTGGGACTCCTGTCTGGTCCTTGATTGCCGTTTCGACGGAGGTTGTTGACGGCAGCCTCATAAGCGAGGGGTTGGTGGCCTGAAACGCGATAGATGGTGGACTTCCTCTCTCTGAATTCCTACTTGGCGTCAACTTAGCGGTCGATATATCACTCTCGCCGCTGTTCTCCAGTGTTCGTGCACTCAGAATAAAAATGAAGAATGAGGGGTCTGTTGGACTGAGACTATGAACAGAAGTCAAGTGAGTTGGCAGGAACAGACGCGGTCCAATTGTCTTATCGCATAATGGGCAAGTAACCAAAGCGTTTGCCGCCATCAGTTGTAAAACGGTGTCCTTTTTTGGCTCTTCTTGAGTTGGCCTTGGGGTTTCTTGCGGGAACGATGAGAGATGTGGAGGCAACCATGGCGGGAGGCTTCCCAGTGGAGCTGGAAATTGGGGGGACAACATGGGAGTCATGAGGGAAAGAGGGGGAGGAAGAGGCTGAGGCAGACCTAAGAGATCCATGTTCTGCTTCGCGGTTTCTACCTGCGTTTTCTCAGCATGTTTGCTGGCTACTGATCGTGGAATCGGTCCACCTACTTCTTGAGGTGAGAGTCCATGAACTTTAATTTTGTGCGTTCGGAGGAAGTATTTGTTGCAGAGTTCCTTTTTGCATAGCTCACAGGTGACGCGATCGGCCAACTTCGCAGCTGCCATGCTTGACTTGAAAATGTCGAGAGTTCCAGTGTTTGGAGTTTTTGAAGAGACCGTAGAATTGACAGCTGGACTAGGGCCCGTTTCGGTGGCAATGATTGGAGGAATAAAGGTAGCATTTTCGCTCAACTCCACTCGAGAAGACTTTGACTCAGACTTTGGAATCCAAACGGGAATCTGGTCTTCTTCAGAACTTGGGTTTGCTTCTCCCGAATTCAGAATACGGATAGCCTCCATAGAGGGCCTTCGGACTGAAATACCTTCGCCAAGATGTTGGGAAGTGATAGATGAAGACGTAAGAACGTTCATCCACTCAATTGTGTTAGTGGATGAGGATTTATCAGACTGGTCGTTGTCATCCGATTCTCCTGAACCGGCCTCACGCTTCCGGATTTGTGAAAATGGCTCACTTGCAATCCGATGAACATCACTCTTGTGCTTGCGTAGGTAGTACTTGTTACAAAAGTGTTTCTGGCAGAGCTCGCAAAAGTCCTCATCCTTGTTTCCATTAACGGTTGGGTGGAGGTTTTTAGGTGGTGGAATCATCATGAAAGGGTTAGGGAAAGGAAACTCGCTGGGCGGAGTGACAGACGTATCAGATAAAGGATTCACCAGGCCTGTGAAGAGCTGCGATGCCATATTCACTTCATCGCAGTTACCGTTCAAGTCAACTTTTGAATTGGGCATAGAAATGGGTGGTTCACAAACCCAGGTAGGTGACTGAGAGTTAGGTGAACTCAACATAGCCATTGCGGTTGCCAGAAAGTGATGTCTCAGTTCCTCCGTTTCCCTTGAACTGTTTGCTTCCATCACTGGCAGTCCCATTGCAGAATGCTGTTCACTGAATGACTTCATGAGTGCGAAGACCGCAGATGAGTCGGGGTTGAAACTGTTATTAGTGTCAGTCATGCTACTTCTGTCTGAAGGAAAAGAGGAAGCCTAGTTAAATATACTTAGAATTGTAGCCTTATGTTGGACCCTATCTAAGGTTTAGTGGTTAATGTTGAACATCACCTGCCTCCAAAGTGTATCGATCGCCTCATATTTAAATGCAACGTGAATTTGTCAAACTCTTCCAGATATATAACATTATTTGCTTACTTCATAAGTTTACGAGGCCAATAAACTCGACTTTTGTATTTACCTAACCCGTCTTATCGGAAGTTAAAGTCTCCAGCCTAGGCGCTAAGAGGGGATTTCCACTAGACCACCTGTGGAAAATTCCCAACGGTTAAAACTCAATCACACCAGGTTCCATAACCCCACACCCACCAAGCTTAACCTCTACTATTTCGAATGATAATTTATGGAATAATGAACAACATGTTATGTCCACGCGGGAATAAAAGGAAATGTGCTTGTGTGGCTGCACAATCATTTGGGTTAGCAATACCTGGTGAAGCGAGACATTGTGAATGAAAAAGGGTTTATAATAGGCATCTGTCATGCATTCATCCAACGAAGCCGTTCATAGCAAAAGCTGTATCAACGAATTAACTCCACATGTATTACTTTAATTCATTTGAAACTATTGTTGTGATTGAAATCTCCGTAAATTCTACGCTAATTTTATCTAACTTTCTTATTTAGCTTAATTAGGTGTTTTAAAGATCTATTCCCCTGTATCATACCCGAACACAAGTGAGTTTAAAAAATTCGCGCAACCTTCTCGACACACCGAATAATTCTAATAGAAAAGAAAAAAGAAGGGGTAGAATTCGAGGGCTGGTTCATTGTGGTGCCTAGTTGGGTTAAGTTGCTGACAAAATAGCTAAAATCTGGTATTTTAGAGTTGCTGTGCTTCTCCTTCAAGGTGTTTTACTTCGTTTAAATGCTCAGCAGATCTCGCCCATTCTATAAATATGGCGTACATCAGGACTTGGACATTGGCTTGAATGGAGTTCGAGTCAGGCAAGTTGTCTAGTCTGTCTGATAATTACATGGAGAAATCACTACTAATGGCCTCTAAAATCAGTCTTCACCTAGGTGTTGGAGTGACCCACCGCCTTCAATACACTGACCAATTTCTTTTGGTTTCAAAAATTTCAAAACCACCCTTATCATCGCATGTTGGTGAATTAGACGATCTGTACCTACTATAACCCACACTGGCATAAAATCGAGGTAACACCACGGGGGTGGCAACGCCTTGAGACTTGGCTGGCCACTTGAGATTGACCGCACCACAAGTTGGCTTTCGCATTCATACGCCGTGGAGGCGGCTGTGTTGATGAGGATGGCGAAATTGCTGTGAAGAATGATCATTAAAAGATGTTTATCTAGTTGGCTCCTTCCTTCCAACCAACCCAGTGATGCCACGGAAGGTTGTTTCATTTTATGGTTTTTGGATGGTTCCACTAATAAAAAATTCGTCCTTACTTAAGGTTAAACATAACACGGGGGTTCACTGTAACACCAACCACTTGGAAACACTTTCATCAAAACTGCAGTTGCACCAGAGGTGATAATTTCCGCATGTCCGGCGTTACTGCGTCCGAGTCAGGTGAAAAAAAAGACAAGTGAATGATTTCTTTACGTAATTAAGACAGGTTTGTATTCATAAATTGTCCAACAACTAACATCGACGTCGTGGCGGCTGTAAACTCAGAATGAATCATTTAGGTGGTGGTTCACAACTGCGCTTATTAGTTGTCAAAATCTGCCACCAGTTAATTTGACGATGGTGTAGTGAAACATGGACACTCTCCTCTTCCAAATGTCAAAGAGGGAAAAAGTGCCAGTGAAGTCATCTGGTTTTATTTTAGTCGAAAAAAAATCTATTTTTAACGATTTTTCAATGGTTAAGACATTTCAGTAACAGCAGTGATCAAAAACATATCATTTGCTTCTGTTCTGCTTTTGATTCCTCTAACCAAGATTATTTTTAGTTCACCCTCCCGAAATTTTAATTTTCGTGATTATTAAGGAATTTCTGCTGAAGTGTTAGAACCAGTGTTTGAAATGCGCAAAAAACACAAAGCAAAATTTTTTTAAAGTTCTTGGATGTTGTTCAAACAAATCGAGTGCAAAAACTTGTGTGCCTGTGTGGATTGCAGGAGTTGATCAGCCAAGAAGCTCTAGACAGAGATTTCACCGCCAAAGTAGAGTTGGCTTCTGAAGTTGCTTCATCTGTCAAAACTGCATTCACGCCTTCAAAATACCACGCTCTCATAACTAGCTGTAGTCTTCGAGCAAAATGAGAGTTCATTTTTTAGTACGTTTAACATTTCCTGTTTCATTTCCTTCGATTTCACACACTTTGAAGAAATTTTATCGTGGTTTATTGCAATTCCTTTAATCCCGCTCTCCCACCCCACGCCCTCTGCTCACACCCACGAGCCTTCCTTTTAATTAAACTACAATTAAACGTACCAAAAAGCGCATCCCGGGCACGCGGATGTGCGGGTAAATGCCCTGCCTCCATCATCTATCAAACCCCACTCAAAATTATAACTTGGTGCGGTCCTTTACTGCGGCTATCGGGGTGAGGGGGTAGTTAAAATTTTCTTTAAAGGCCCAACACGATTCCTCAGTGCGTGTGTGTCTGTCAAATACGAGGACTTTGAAGTTGCCTTCTCGTCCCCACAAGTGCCTGTGTCGCACGGAGCAGCGACGTTTTTTCTACCACAAACACTGCGCTAGTGATTGCGTGAAAAATGCAAAATCTTCAAGGCCGGTGGACTGGCCGGTGGGCGACTAATGAAGGGGGTGGCGGGTTTTCGGCTTTGCGTCCCCACTTGGAGAAGAAAACTAGTGGGCTTATAAATTGCGAGCACACACGACGGGAAATATAAACTTGTTGGTGGCATTTCCGGCATTCGGGAAAAGAGGTGGGGGGTGGTGCATTGAATCACTTCTGTGTGGATATAAACAATGGAGGACGACGAAGTGGGACGGCAAACCCCTTTGTGCACCCCTCCGCCCCTTTAATCTGCACCTCCGTGCACCCTAAATTGCCTCCAAGGAGGCTTTGCACAAGGGCTCCGAAATTTCATCCACTTTTTCTCTTTCTCCAGTTAGTTTGCGACAATGAAAAACAACGGACTGAAATGCACTTTAAATTGGCCTCCATAGTGCATTTATATACTGAAAAACCACCAAAACCGACAACTACAGGTTTCTAATAATAACTCACCAGTTTACATTTAAGGGAATCTAATAATGCTCCAACCACTTAATGAGTTTTCAATTCAGTGTCTCGACAATTTGCTTCCTTACTTGGTCGTAAAAAAACTAAAAAAATCGCGATACCATGGTACAAAAAATGAACTCTTAAGCTTGACGCGAGGTCCTGTGATGTGCCACTTTTCTTTCTATCCCCAAACAGAAATTCAGGTTTAATCAAATTTACAAGGATAACACACAAATGTCAGCCTGATTTGATTCGTCAGTTTCTGCTACTGAGTCTCAGACCTCATTTGTCAGAGAAATGCTGTCCATTATTTCAATCGAGCGCCGGGCACAACCATGGAAGTTTGTGCTGGGCGTTGCAGCACCACGATTTACAAGGAACTTCTGCTACATTATTAAGTCGTTTCACATCCCGACTCTAAGGGCCTAAGTTAGCTGTTTGCATTTGTCTGTTTGTGAATGACCAGAAAGTCATTCTGTTGTGCAGCCGTTTCACGACAACCAACAATATTTCTTATTCAGGTTGCATCTGCATTTAAACAACCTCCATCATTTCCAAGAAATTTAATTCTTGTGTCATTTTTTAGCTATACCTTCGGTACTGTGAAGGGTAATGGTGTGGTAACGCGCATTTATTTAATGTTTTATCGTGTTCTTGGAGATATCTAGTCACACTTAAACAAAACCTAATCAATTCAACGTTTGGGAATAAATGAATAATTAGACCAACTAAGAGTGTGACCGAAATTTCCTGCATTAAATTATCCCAGCCCCACCTCCATTACCCTCGATCTTCCTATGAAAAGAATCATAACTCCAGCCCACCAGTGTATTCCTCCAAGACGTGTGTTGAACTTGGATGCAAATTTGCGTAATTTGCATTCAGCGGTGTCGGATGTTACCTCAGATGGCACCCCCCGCACAACTCCGTCGTTCAGAATCGGGCTCAACGTCGTCCCAGACAAACTTGCTACACTCTTAGTGGGTTAAATTTCATGACGCGTCATGTACCAAGTCTAGTTCATTCCAATAGACGACGGTTTTCTGCTGTTCAGCCGAATCGATTCAGCGATTACGGCCAAGTGAGGCGCAGAAGGGTTCGGAAAGGTCCGGCAGATTTTAAGGACAATATTTAATTCTCCCTTTCCTCCTCGTAGTGGCATCCCGTGGTAATCAGTCCCAAAAATGGGTTTTGAAAACAAACAAAACCATGAGCACGCTTGTTCACCAAACAGAGAGGATCACCTTCAGTCAGATTGGGCTTTCGCGTATCCCAAGTAGAGCAATACAAAACCTCGCAAACCCAAAGAGTGAGTTGAGTTGTTGCCCTGGAGCAGGCAAGTCATCTTCTACATGGGCATCTTCACTCCACTGGCCGACTGTGGTTGCAGTGTCACTGAGGCCCATATCGACACCATCCGGAGCCGTAGTAACTCTCAGGTTTAACGAGGGAGATTGGGGGTTCGATTTTGGGAATGCATTTATTTCGAGCCCCTGCAAAATCCTCTCTCCTTCCACATCCCTCAGTACATTCCCGTCAGTGATAAATGCAAACATTGATTTCAGTTACTTTTGCTTCTTTTTACAAGGGACACAGTACATTTTGCTGTTTTGTCAGTTTTTCCGGCCAAAGGTCAAATCGTCCAAATTCTCCCACTAAATTTAGGAAAACTTTGGTTGATGGTGGAGAGGGGCGTGGCACGCACTGCAGGCTTCAAAAAAGACGTGCACATGTCTTCTGTTTTGCTTGACAGACGCTTTGTTCCTTCTCCCTGACTGAACGGAAATTAGCATTTAGTTAAATGAACAAAATTCAAGTAGTCATAACCATTTAACTGATTATTTGTAGGACTTAAAGCAACGACTCCCAACCGACTTTCGACTTTGATCAATTGATTTAATTTTTCTACTTTAAATCGTTAAAGATTATGGAATCCACGAAATGTCCTTCCTAGTACTGAAAAGTTCTCAGCTGGCTGGACGATCTTTGTTTTAAAATTGGCAACTACATCGGTGAATCCCAAATCAAAGATCCGTTGAGAGTTCTAGCCTAAACCTTTTTGAATGCTCCGTTAACGGCCTGCCGATACTAGGGGTTCGACGGATCGACTACACACTGACATCGCCACCGCGACGACGAGGTGCCGATGAGGGCTTTTACCAACCAAGAATGCATTCATTTCCGCAAGTCATCTACGTTATGGCGATTACTAATTCCAAATGTAATGGCTTTATACAATGTTTAAGTGTTATTTTTCCATCAAGTTCATTCCACGTAAACCTTTCAAATGCGCGTTAAAAGGCGGCAATCAGTCTTTAGTAGAATTTAAACTAATGTCATCAAAATAGAAGACTTAGTCTAAAAGCGCCAGTAACATGCGAGTGCACCAGTACACTATTGTGACATTAAATTTCCATTATTCCACCTCGAGTAATGACTGAAACAATTTCGATTGCGATCTTTATGTAACAGCATTTGGCGTTATTATGGCGGCACAATAGCGTATTTGCGCCTCTTTAAGATGACGACTCGGTGTCCCCTCAAATCGCCACTTCTAACTCGAGGTGGGTGAAGGCTTAATCGACCGAACACATACGTTCGTTAGATATCTGCATGAGGTGGGTCAGCAACAGGAAATCGGAACGGCAGGGCCTGTAGTTATCAGGCCGGTCTAAGCCGATCTTTTCATCGTGCGAATGCAAAACAGGTGGCAGGGATCACACTCTGGTGAGCCAGGTAAACAGTTTAACCTGCACTAAATTGGGGGTGGGTGAAATCCTGTGCAGATTTATGACACAGAAAGAAAGAAATAAGTGGACAACCACCACCTGTGGAGCCAGCTGTATGTAAGTCTTCTGATATTAGGGACTGATGTGCTGCTGGAGAACTAATTGTGCACTAAAGACTAGGAGAAATAAATCCCATCTCGTTGGAATAACGGCATTTCTCCCGTAAAGCACTAAGTACACAAGCACGTGTGTTTGCCCCACTAACACTATTGCAGACCTTGTCGAATTGAAATGAAAACAATTACTGTTACTACAAGGATTCGCTTGTTCAAATTTTTCGATCGAAAAAAATATTGGTACGAGTTGTTGAGCTTGCGTAGAGCATGCAATTTGGTTATGGACTCTTCAGACGCTGGGTTGAAGTGAAACAGAAAGGGCGCAGGGTTGCCAAGTTTGAAAATTATAATTCCATATGAAATTTAGGATAGATAAAATAAATGAGGTACTTACCGAAATCCCGTTAGAGTTCCTCTGAAGTTAGGGTGTTGCCACGGGCAATGAATTGCACACAAGATAAAATGAAGTAGCGAAAACGAGTCACAAATACTCAAATGGTGACCGGAAAGACGGCACTGTCGAATCAAATTGCCTGGCCAATCGTGGATCTGTGTGTGTGTGTGTTGATTGTTTGTTAAAAGGCTGTCTGTACGCGCGCAGTGCACACACGTTTGCATTTAACGCGCGTGCGCCTTTACTTCACACTGCACAAACTGTAACAGCAACAGAGGACGAGCGAAAGAGCAAGTGTGTTCAAACGCGGATTGTCGCGTTATCTCCTTTCGTCTTTCCACCAATGTGCCCGCGCGTGCGACTGTGACCGCAGAATTCCTACATCGTGATTGGTTCACTCACCTCCGCCCGCTCATGTACGTGCGCACGCATTTGATGCGTGCGTGTGCGTTATCCACAGGTGGATGATACACCTCTTGTGCATGCCCCCTTCTTACTCGCTTGCGAAGGTTACTTACGACGTAGTGATTATGTCCACAAATCTGACCAGCAAAATCGTAAAAAAGGTTATCGCGAACTTTACCTCAATCTTTCTAAATGAATTCAAAACAGCCGCGTTTATGGCTCTACAATTTCGTCAATGTAAACCCAGCTTAGAATAGATAGTTCCGTTTAGCCAAGCGACGTTAAGGAGGGACGGGTCGAGGAATCGCCTCTTTCAAGCCCGAGAAGTTGCCATTTCCGCATGGGCGACTGAATCAACGAATGCCTCGAGCCTCAAATATAATGGTCTTGCGTCTCCAGCTCGAATCCGCCGGTCTGGCTCTCATGCGATGTTAGTTTTCTGTTCGTTTTACTATTTCAACTCTTAAACGTTGTCTGGCCCACACCTCCTGTGAGGCCTTTAATACCGATTGTAGCAAAATTCTTACACTACAGCCGAACACCATAGAAGGTAACCTAGAGGTAATTTTAACATGCGGGCATTTTTTAATTCACGGCCTTTTCGCCTGACAAAACGTCAAGAGGGAGAGTTTTGATGTTGAGTTTATGTAGCTCGTGTGGGTTCATGCGCCAGCGTGATTACCACTGGATTGAGACATATTGCAGACATAACAGGGAATTCAAACGATGGGAGAAGCAGCATAACAACAATTTTATTGCAGCCCTCAACAGAAGCAAGGCTCTGTTGATGTGTAGTGTTAAGCCACCGCATTGAATTTCACCGGACCTCTCTTGGGGTTAAGAGAAGGACGGCGGCTCATCATAATTCAAACCTATTCAAATTACAGGAAGACACCACCAACTCAAAGAGAAATTCAAAACAGTGAGGAAATTAGAGTACTTCATAAAATGGTTGGCCGTTTTTCCATGGAATTTTTAAGAAAGATTTGTAGCAAAGCCATATCTATAGTCCAATTACTATTTCAAGGAATCCGTGTCTGTACATGATGAGGTCTTTTGGATTTAATTAAGCGACGATGAATGCAGTGCAGGAGGATTCTCCAAGACGACCCAATTTGGCATTTCAATGGGATGTCTGACGCACGGTTTAGCTTAAATTCAGACATGAATCGATTCTCAGAGCCTACCCCATTCGTGACTTCCGTTGTGATGTTAAAATGGCATCCCAAACAGGCGCTTACGGACACAATTTAATGAGCAATAATCTTGTGTGAAGGCGGATATCCATTGACTTAATTAATTTAATGTGACGCCGCAACGCCTGGTGATGTATTAGTGTTATGCATGGGCTGGGTAGAGTGGATTATCGGTAATGTGGTCAAAGACTGGTGTAACGCAGAGTGAGCACTTCGCATCAGACTTGGGCGTCTTTTCTACTGGCGAGGATGACAACAAGTCCTTGCTGACCCGTGTGGCTCTAAACGTCCTCTAACATTATGGACCTTCATTAGAGCGGGCAGTGTCAGGCGAATCATAATTTGCAAAAAGTGGAATATTTTGCATAAGATGTGGTGGTGGTGGTGGCAATGGCGGCGGCGGGGGCGGCTGCTATTCGTTTGCTTATGCAAATACTACAAAACCTGCATAATTCCGGTGTGAATAATTATCATATGCGCTCCCCGAACATAAGGAGGCACCTGTGCTCAGCCGTGCATCCACGCCCGTGTGCAAATTTGATCACACCTTGGACGAAACGAGAACAGGTTTGAGGTGGGTGCTAATTGAGTGGGCCTTAAACGTATTTCTGGTCGGTTTGGCATTGCTAAAGGCAACGTGGTGACACTAGGCATATCAGAATGCAAGGATTTGCTATCCACCTAACACTCATCTTCACTAATCGAACTTGATGAGAAGGCAGTCATCGTGTGTTTTGTTCAATAGTTCAGCTCCCGGTCTAAGTTCAAGTCAATTGCGGTGGCTAGGCGGACAGGTTTAAGAGGAAGGTGTGGGCAGACGACGACTCACTATGTCCGGTGGGCCGACAGGAAGGTCCCTCATCATGGCATTCGTAACATTAAAATCAACTTCGCGAATCTGGCTGTATTTTTTTGCTGCTCTTGCCAATCGGCTACTGAAGACCGTCCATTTCATCCCATCTGTGGCTACTCACAATTGCTGATAGGCTAGCAAGTCTAGTGTGTGCTGAAGCACGCTGGCAAGGCTTCCACCCATAATCGTAATGATAAGCAGTTTCATGCGACCCCAGAAAATTTAATTGTTGGTCTGCAGCTTTGATGGATAAGGAACACGGATAAAGCAACAAGTCTTGCCGTGCCAACCCTTCTCGGTGCGGTAACATTAATCAGGGCGATCGCCTAATCACCAAACAAACAAGTTCAATTCCTAAATGTTTCTAGACAGATTAATATTATGCCCAGCGAATAGGCACTTAAAGGTCTCGCCATAATTTCGCCGACTTTACAATTTATCACTGTGTAGAATTCTTCCCTAAAATGGTATGCGCTTGTTAAATCCTGGGGGCGCTTGGGTGTGTGTGCACACAGGAAGAGACCAGCAAACACGGCGTTTTTGCACGCAATGAAAGGATGGGGGTTAGACACCTTGGCGGTTATAAGTAGTCGCTTTAACCACCGCTGGGGGCCAAGTCATCCTATTCCTCTAGTGACAAGCCATTGCACCTCAATCGGATAAGTTTTCCGCGTGGCATAGAGAAGTCTACAGTACGAAGTACACAATAGACATGCTGATAATGCGTCAAATGGGAGAAATCCACAACGTTAAAACAACCAACTGCTTTTGACTAAAAAACTCAAAAAATTTAAGAACTTGGTAAATACCTCCCATGTGGGCAGCTTCGTCGTTAATGCGTGTTTCTAAGCTCGGTAACGCAATTATCACACATCTCATTGTCAACCAATATTTAGGTTCCCGCCTACACAATAATGTCTGAAAAGACGAATGACATGTCACCTGAGGCGAAGAAGTTCTACTGAATGACTAATTAATAACGTAGCTGGACATCAAGTAAATTTGACCGTTCGGCCAATTGTTGCTTCTTTCTCCATAATGTAGCAGTGAATCGAAGTTACTTAAAACAGTTCCTGAGGGAAGGCGAACTGCCTCAAAGCTCAAATTGTACTCCCAAACATGTCTTCAAGCCTGCTTTTCATGGATGCGACCCTGCGTGTAGTGCTCTGGTTCGGGTTCAGTTCCAGTTCCCCATCGTATCTTAGGATTGCGGCATCCAAAATCGCGGTTACCTTTACCCTGGCTACACGTGAGTTGATTTGGAGTTGGCCGAGTGCTTTGAATCCCTTTGGTGTCAAACTACGAATTCATTTGCACGATATCCTTAATCAAATGTCGTAAAACCTTGTGCATTTCCATAAAATCGAAATGGTTTGGTATCAAAGTTCCACGTTAATACCATTCATCTCAGCAGGACAACACTGTACTCTAGTCATGTCTGCAGCAGAGTTCTTTATGCGCTTAGTCGAAGACACCGGATCCTGAATAGGCGCCTGTAAGTTCTCCTCCTTCGAGGAATACTACAGAGGCAAAAAGTGGTATGACAAGGCACAATAATTGCAAGACGGGACAAAGCATAATGGATTCAGGCCATCCAAAGTGTGCTGTTTCCCTTTGTAGATGTCCTGACTGGTCGGCAGAATGATCGAATGCTGCCATATCAAAAGGCCTTTAATTTGCATGTGGATCCACACTTTGATGCATGGCGCGTGTATTGTAGAGGTCATTCCCTAGACTTGTGTATTTTCCATTTTTATTGCATGTAATTGGTATTTTTGAGGTAGAAGTGCCTTTTTGGTTTATTATACACCACTTCAAAACACTTTGGCAGTTTCGTGTGTGTTCAGCATGCGCTTACGTCCACCCGATGGCCGTTTTGATTGCATAGCTTTAACAACAACAACAACAATAGCGGCTGCAGCTCTCGTACGCAATGGAAGACACCGATATGAATGTTTTGCACCCTAAAAGTCACTGAATAAGAACGAAAGGATGAAAGGCTTTCACCGGCTTGTGGGAACGGATATAGGCGGGAATTTCTTCAGTGCGACCGTGTATGTAAACGGTCGCTTAAACTTGGTAAAGGTCACCTCGGCAAAGCATAAAATTGGGTCCGACATTTGCCGCTGTTGCACAGAATTTAGCAATTCTATTTAGACCCAAAACTAGTCTTTTGACTGATTGGCTGGTCGTTACAACTGGCTGGACTGGTTAGTGCCAGCGTATTTTATTAAAGCTTGCAGTCGTGATTCCAAATATTAGACCAGACGTCCTTATTGATCCTAATAGGTTGTGCAATATAAACTGAAGGAAAGTGAATGGGCGGAAGTGGTCACTGGCAGCGATTTCGTTAACACGCTTCACCCCCTATTCGATTCCTTAACACCACAAACTAGACAAATGCCGCCACCACCATCACATCTAACAAACCCTATCAGCGGGATAAGGTTGGGATCGCCGGCAACATTTTGTCCCACATTTCTATTCATTAGAAGAAATTCATCCCATTGTGGGTTCTTCTACAACCTCGCCCCACGAATGCTTGTCGCGCACTTTGTTCGGGTGGCGATCATCCATTTTGAATGCACGAATTCGAGCAGCGGCCACAAGCACGAGTTAAGCGAGTCCTTGCCCTACAGTTCCAGTGCTGTTTCAAAAAAAATTTCCAACTAACGCTAGAGTCTGCTTCTCTGTGAACTCATTTCCTAACGCCGAGCATCTCAAAAGGCTGCATGAACCATCATGGTCTGACATCCCAGCAAGGCAAGACAGCCATCACAAATCTCTGGTTGTGGTGAAAGGTGAAGACGCATCTCCCAAACAAGTGTATGACTATGTGGGTGGTAGATCTCTTCAGTTGTCAGAATCAAAGTTGCTATGGCATGGTTTCCATCTGTAATATATGAATGACGACAGCGCCAGTGAGACGAACATGCGTTCTGGCGCAATTTGTGTTATGACAAATATCAGAAAAAAATTAACTGCTTAAAAGAACCTGAGAATACTTTTTAATTTCTTCATGAATTCTGCTGACACAGAGTTGGTTTTGCGCGTTGTGCTCGATTCACACAAAGTCGACCAGCCAAAGTTACCAGTTAAAATGCAAAAAGTACACGGTATCTAACCCTTTCTAGTATGCATACGCCTCGTTTCAGATGTACAGATTTTCCAGAAAAAGAAACATGAGCACTATTTCTGTGTCCTTATTGCCTTGTCGAATTTTGTTTGTCATATTAAGCACAAAATGGACCTATCCGGTAGCTTTGTGTTAAATAACATCGAATTTTGATAAACCATGTAGTAATTAGTCTGAACCACCACATTCATACGGCCACGTTGGCGATGCGATAATAATATAATTACCGAGTTGAGCTCATGGTTGGTCGACCTAGGAGTTTCCCATTCGAGTTTGAGAGGCGACCAATCGAAGATAACAGATTCGCATTTTCAGCCGGCATGTTACACCCCCTTTCTGCACTTCCAAGGCTTACCTCAAGTCCTGTTGCCTTTGGGCTTGTGTGAAGTTGTGTGGCCAATGAAACATCTCTTCATCGTTGTCACCGTCGCTAACTGATTTTGTGCTGGGTTAAGTCAATCCAACTTTCAGGGGAAAACATGGCCAACCAGGAAATGGCTGACGGCAAGTACACGTGCTTCTTCTTTCCCACAGGGGTGAATGGAACTACGATGGGGTGTGCACACACCCCACAAGACCCACGACTTTATTCGCCCCGATGAAGATGAATGGCAGAAGCTGAAGGCCTCGTAGCACACGTGTCAGCAGCCAGTGCGCCTCTGCACAAATGGATTAGGCCCATTTAAAGCCTCTCAATCATTGTAATTCACCATTTCTTCTGACCACATCTTGATACGAGGGGTTAGGCGCCAAGTGAAGAGAAATGAAGGATGAATTAAGGCAAAAAGCAGGAACTGGTCAGAGCAATCTATCATTGACTAAAACAAATGACAAAGTTGAGCCTACTTTGATGTGTTCTGCGTGGGGTGCCAGTGCGCGCATAACGTGAGAACTTATGCTAAAAATGAATTATCCCATCATTTGCCAGTTGTGACTTCGGAGAGTGCTTTTTTTCGGATTCGGAAGGGAAAAACTGAGAATCACCATGCGCACGCGTCTATCTCCTTACACAGCCAACACCGATATATGCTACCACAGTAAAGTCAAAGTCAACAGTAGAAGAGGATGTGGGTGTGCGTGTCCCAACACAAGGAAAACCCTACAACGAAATTTTCCAGCCTGTGAGTCCGCTTCTTCATCTACTTTTGCAGATCTTGTCAGCGTGCTCATCAAAAGTCGCAGTGAACAATTGTACTCTGAAGTACCACCATAATAACAAGGCGATAACACCGTCACCACGATCACTCGAAAGTCTGTCCTTGAAGCTAGTCTGCCGTGGAATATTGACTTTCTTTTCCAAGAAAGATCGATTTTCCCCCAATGTTTCGGTGCCTCCACTACGAGACATACCCAGAGTCCGTTGGCGATGTCGGTAGTGGAGCGTTGGAGGAAAAGTAGGTGTCACTTTGAGTCTTCGGTTTGTCAGTCGATCTGTCTTGCACCAAAGGTCTCACACGACCTGGACAGTTTGGTGGTCCTGTTATAAGCGTTTTAGGGTACTCCTGGGATTCTCTAAATGCCTCAGCAGTCTACTTTTTCTCTAGCATCTAGCAGCGGATTGTACGATTACTTCCGATATCCTTAAAAGTAAGAGTTGCCAATTCATTGATTGCAACAATTCCTGGGATGCAATTGTTCCTTTACATTATTGGATGGACCATTATTTATTCGGCATTGTGGGCATGGGTTTTTGGCAGAAGCATGCTTCAGGTTTGGATGCTTAATGACAATTGCAGGTGCTTCAAAGCAAAACAGCTTTCTAGGACCACGTGCCAGTCAATTTATAATGGACTGCCTGATGATTACTATTTTTGCCATAAAATGGGAATAGTCTGTGTGTTTTACACTTGAACACAAATTTTTAGTGTGACAGTTTCAGTACAAACAGGGTTAAACCATTCCTGGTCAATAAAAAGCAGCAGACAAATGAATAGAGAGTAAGCAGACCTTGTCACTCTATTCGCAGAGAATTGAACAGCCCACTATTAGCGAGGCTACCCTTTTGTTACTTGGGGTTTTCACTACACGATAAATATACGAGGCCCGAAATAAAGGAAAGTGTTCAAAAGTTAATAACCAAAGTTGTTAACAGGCAAATAGGTTAAAACTGGGGAGAAGGTGATTATTTGCATTCCTTGTGTTACGAAGAGTTAATCAACCACGAGTTTCTCCTTGTGCGTATGCATGTCTATGTGGAAGGCCAAATAAAGTGTTAATTAGTCATTTACCTAGAGTTAACGCCATAGAGTAAGGTTAGAAATGTAAAGGCTTTTTTGATGAACGTTGAAATGACTTTCAGAAGGCGGCTCTAGTAGTTTAATTGAGTTCTGAAGCAGAAGAACGCGGATGGACGTGGCCGAGTTATCTACTGGCAGAATAGCTGACAGTTCTCTCCTTTATAGTGGAATAGAGGCCCAAAGGCTCGTGTTGTTGGCCTTTTAGCCGGTTAGATTTGCGTGGACGAGGCACCGATGAGTACACGGGGTTGAATTCATCTGCTGGTGGCAAGGTGTCAGGTAGTAGCTCGATCAGGTAGGAGGGCGGGGACTTAATTGGATTTCGGGAAACAAGCACTCTGACCATCTCAGATGAGTCTTCGACAAATAACATCCTCGCCTCTGTTAGGCGTGTTTAAAAGGCTCAAGATTTTCATTGGTTCTAGAAGTTTGGCGGATATCTGGTCCACTCCTGTCTCTTGAGTCCAGTAAACATTGGTACAAAGCAGGCACTCGTTTTTCAGACTAAAATACATCCATTTGCACAGATTATGCATCCTTTGTCCAAGTGGACGTGTCAGAATCCCAGGGGGGACAGGTGCCCCCGCTCGAACCCCAGTAAGTCGTAGAGTTGCCTTAAAGTGTGCCAGGTGGTCTTGAAAAGCCCCGAAAGCCCGACGACAATTGCACTCTACTCTCTACGTTTGAAGGTCAGTGGACTTTTGATGTTGTCCCGTAAGACGAGTCGGTTGTCTAGTCGTGGTTTCACATTCGTGCGAACAAGAGCGCATTGCATTACAAGTTATTATAAGCAAATTCTGTAAGGAAAATTAAAGCTTAGACCTTTTCGTTGATTTACTGACATCGAAAGCTGAATCAGAATGAGGGCGAAACTCTAGTGTCTCTAGATAGCCAGCAGCCTTCCTTTGGTTGATTTAACTTTCCCCAGGCTTGACATAAATGTGGAAAAACAGTAGAAATGAATTTTCTTCGGTAAAGTGACGACGTCAGCAGTTCTTAAAACCTAGCAGATGTTTTCCGACCTGCTTCGCCTCATCCTTAAAACCAGTCCGCCCATTTACGCTAACCCCCTTGGACCCATTCGTCCATTCGCCCAACACACTCAACGCATATCGACCCCCTCGCCAACGAGGCTGCAGGCAAACTGCAGGAGGAATTTTCCCAACCGTATAATGCGCGCAACCTCAGACGTCACACTATGCATGCGTCCGCACAAGCTCGCAGGATTAACTCCATTTTAGTGGGGCTGATCCAGAAGGGGTAGAATGAAAATCAACTCGCGGTGCGTGCACGTGCGCACAATCAAGCGCTTGGGATCGTTGGGATGAGAGCATCGAGTGCACGAATGCCCATCCACCGTACAAGATGCACTTCGTGCGTGCGTACGTGCGACCCCGTGAACGCGAGCGGTCGGATTAAAATTTTAATTCGGTTACATTTTAACACGCGGGAGACAGACGATTGGCTAAAATTTTAAGAGCGATGAATTTTTTCGCGTGCGCGTTGGAACAGTGTTTTAAAAAAATACTAGTCCAAACATGAAAACATAATAGAAAAGGGAAGGAATACTTGTTAATTAAATATCAAATCGTGTTTTATTTAAGTTGAACTGAAGAAAAAAGCAATACGATAGGAGTGGTGTTTGCCAATCAAACTCTGTGATATGATCCTTTTGTATACATTTACAAATATTGTTCATTAAATCAAATTTGTGGACAGAGTAATTAATGGGGATAGCTCAATGATACATGTAATCAGGTCAACACTAGTCTCCCAACCATGTGTTTTCATCGGTGAATAATTGTCAAACAGTACAAAGTTTGCTCGTGCATGAAATCTGGAACAGGAATATTATTGACAGTTTACAGAGCGTGGTGCGTAAACCCTTTTGGAAGGGAAATGCTTCAAGTGGAAAAGAAGCTCTCACGTGTGAATTAGTCTATTCTCAAGGCTCAAGTCCGGGACATGGAGACGAGACAACAGGTATTGATGGTAGTGGTAGTGAGGGACTGGAGCACAAACAGGGCGAATAAGTTAAGTGTCCATCGTAGTTCAACGTACACCCAGCCATATCCAATTTCCATCTTGTGAAGAGCATAGCTCTCTGACTCAGCCCGATTGAGTAGGCAAATACAGCACAAATTGGGCAAACAAAACGACTAATTCGGTAGTTAGAGGGATGGGATGGGGGGTGGGGGCAGGGGTGGGGGTAGGGGCACGAGGCGGTGCACATGGATGAGAGAGGGGAAGGTTAGTAGGCCGGCTTATCAAAAATTAAACCAAATCGCATATAGCAATTACTAAGACCTAGGGTAGTCAGAATCTGAGTCTGTGACGGGGACAGAGGGTGGAAATTTCCGCTTGCTGTTTTGTTAACTAGGTGTGTGAAGGCCAGAAAATACGCATGTGTTCACCCGGTGGCTGATGGCACATTGAGCCCACATTGTTACTCACGGTTAAGGGGCAGTTCCTGGAGATGACAGGGATAAAACAAATTCAAGATTGTGCAAAGCACAACCAATAAACTAAATTTCAAAACACATCCAAAGGCTTTTACCCTAAGGGCCTTATGCTGCCGTTCTGCAATGTTCAACTACAAGTTTTTCTGCAATGCAGGATGGAATTTGGTGCTCCGATTAAATATTTACAGCTACTTCGAAACATTTTACAGGTGTACTCTTTCAGTTTTTAGGGTCTCAATATAATGAAAAGGTGACATTTTGAAAAAAAAGCATTTTAAACAAGTTCACAAGGATGATCAACTTCAGTGCTTATTTGTGCAGCAGACAAATGCATCAAACCATAGATTTTTTAACAAAGTAGCATTGAACATAGAACCTATCTCACAGATTAAGAAGACACAATATGGCATGGCTATTCACCTTAGAAGGATATCAGATACTACAAAAAATGCTCAATGACATAATGTCGTTGGAAGAAGTCATTTTTGATGCGCGAATGATATATTACCGAAGCTGAGGCATTCTCTCGATGATTTAAAACCTGCTAGTGATTTTATACACATTTATCCGAATTTGGCTGCGCCGTAGCTTGTATGGTAGAATATTTCACCCAAAAATGAATCGACGGTAAAGGGAGAACTGCAGTCCAGCTGGCAGGAAGGAAATACGAGTTGCCCATTTATTATCCATCGTGTTTTCTAGCAACGTTTTTGGGCTGTGCCAACAAGCAAACACTTTTAGGCTGTCTGTATCCCAGATGCATGCCTCCGTCAATCTCCCATCTACTTCTAACTTTCACGATCATTTAGAAGTGACATTTATGCGCACATGCCTTGGGTCAATCACATAGGCAACAGGTAGAAAGGAGTGGAAGCTTATGGTCTCCAACACTACGTGTCAGTAGGAAATGTTTAACTTGATGAGATTAACGTAAGTGGAGAGTTCAAGGGGAGCAGTTGGGGCTCGTCTCCGTTACTGTGTTCAGCTATTCTTCGTCATCGGGCTCACTTAATGCAATATTTTGTGCTTCTTCGAAGTTGCAAGTCGGTCAGGAGAGCACCATCTTAGTCTCAACATATGGAAGCTTAGAATAATTAGCCAAACGGACGATTAAAGCGAAATTTTCCGCATTACGGGCGTAATACGAGGTAAACTGGAACCGAAGACAACATATTCTGGGTGAATAAACCACAGCTCTCCTACACTAACCTCGTCCAGATAACTTTTGTACGCTCATTGTGACACTAGACACCTGAGGCAGGTGAACCGAAGTTTGCAATAATCTCGCCTACATCGATCTCCCCAGTACCACCTTACACCTAAGGCTAATAATTAGTATCCGTGGTTTTGCCAACCACGGGTCTAATTTGAGGAAGTTCTATCTTTGCATCAATACGTGCTAAGTCGAGGCGTCAGCTTTCGTTTCCGCAAGGCGATTGTGTCGAGTGATTGTTCGAACCTCGGAGTCTTTGCGTAGAGCCAACAGGACGTGCTGGCAATTAGATCACCACAGCCCTCGAGTTAACAGGACTGGAAGGGCACATGTGCTCGCCCTGAAGAGGCTGCGCACAAACCCGGTGTAATTTGATACCTTTGGTCTTCCAGGAACATTTGGTCGCGCTCGAGTTTGTGTTGCTGACTGACTCATTCGCCTTCATCGCTTGAGTAGCTGAGGCAAGTGCAAGGCCCGGGGAACCCGGCAGTGCGTTTTGAAAGCAGGTGTCCGGCGCTCAGACGTATGCTCACGATTACACGTACATGCCCGTGTGACACCTGGAAGGAAAGGAAAATTGTAAATTGGGGCTCTCCGTGAAGTAGGACGGCAGGCAAGAATTCGGCAGCGGCGGTGGCGGTCGGTGACACGGTGGTATTGGATTTCAAATAACTAGCGACAAAATTTTGGTGTGTTTACCAATTAGCGTTGACACATTTTGCGCGCTAAAATGTCTGACTCTGCTTCACTTATTCTGCCTTTTCAAACTTAGCCACCTAAACACTGGATCATGGAAAATTGTAAATGTCACACACCTCCGATTCAAATGGTCCTACAATAAACTAACACATTTGAAATTGGATGTTCTTGCAACTTGGGCTACGATGACTGTTTTAACATTCATTTGGCAGTACACCCAAGCAATTAGTTACGTTTCCAAAATGGCTGCATTTGGTTTTATTTTATATCCACAACGAGTGACCAGAGAAGAAGCTCATTCATTACTGACAGGAGTCTTTAATGCCCACTTTCCGAAGATGGGTATTGTGATCTGATGTGTTTACTTTGAACTTTGGGATTTCCTAGAGTTGAATAGCCTTAGGTGATTAAATTAGTGCTTGCAGCTAAAGTGTATGCAGGTCTAGCGTGGGAAAAGTGTCCCTGCTTGTGGGCTTTTATTCGCCAGCGTTTAAAAATTTTGTTTGCTCGGCATTTCTGTGAAAATCGAACGTTGTGGGGGTCAGGACCATGTACTGTTCCAATTTTACGGGCAGATACTTGGAGTCTGAAGTAGTACGGAAAGAATCTAAGAAAAACAAAAAAGAATTATGCAACTTGTGAAATAAGATAAGAAATTTTCTGGTACTTCTTTTAAAGAGGAAATAAAGCGCATGATATATATATATATATAAGCCAGTTAATGCTACCTACCGTGAAGTTGTTTAATGGTTGTACAGTCAGAAAAATGGAACTTTAGTCGACGCAAATAACCGTCGCCAGAATGACTGGATCCTGTGCCACATCAAAGGAGATTATTCTTCGGATGATTACGAGATTTTGCGGCCACCTTCCCCAAAGGAAGCCACGAGGATCACCTGAAGTGGTTACTAAGAGAGCGTAGAAAAAACTAGCCACCGTCTTCACCTTCCATCGCCTCCTAACTGACCTATGACCCTAGTCTTGCTCTGATTCCTATTCTAACTACAGAGGTTTTTTAGGCAAAATTAAACTGGTTTCGAAGAAACTCAGCTAGGAATGTTCCTTTTATGTAAAAGTATCTATGCTTTCTTGTCTTCAGCAATACGCGCTTTGGCAAATCACATAGTTGTGCCCAACCTTCCTTCTTGAATAACTTCGGCATTGTTAAATATGGCCCTCCTAATCCAGTCAAGTATTCCCTAAGGTGCCATACTTATTACCCTCTAAACTGTTTTTCTGACTGCCTAGTGTTAGTTCATTTGCGACTGGTGCTAATCTCTGGCTAAGTCACCTTAGCGTAGCATTCACCACAATAGACAATTTAGTCAAATTTTCATAAGGGATTAAATAAAATAATTTTTGCACCCGGCATGCTTAAAACGTAGACAAACATATACACCGAACAACTTTGCTAAACTCTTCCTGCTCCATCTATTCCAATGAAGGAAAATTGCCAAACCCTTTCGGAACGAGAATTGAATAGACATTCTGAAACAATAAGCATAGGGTACACAAATGTCAACTGTTTTGGGGGAGGCAGATCTGTTGCCGCCCCCGAGGAGCCCTGATAAACCTCACTCTGCATTCATCTGTGGAGTTGAGTTGGGTTCGGCTCATCCATGACATTTTTTTGGAATGGCATTAAATGTGAGGCATGGGAATTGAGGCTGGGCTAGATTGTGCATGCTAGATTTCTTGCGCTTAAGATGCCTTACTTATATCTGTTTGCATTCCTATTTTATTCTACTTGATGTTAAGAATTTCCACAGCCTCGGGAATCAAGTATTATAAAATTTTTCGAAGTTATATTATCGCTCAAGCGCACTGCAAGATCCTGGGTTTAAGACGGTTTAAGTGAGTCTTCCAGAGCTCGAACTACGTGAAGGACTCCGTTCTGTTGGCCGAAGCACTTACTCCATGCGCCTCTATCAACATTCAAGTTAAAACGGCTCACACGCGAAATCAACAAAAACACTTGGCCACTAAGGGGTCGCGCAAACCACATTGAAATATTTCTGTTCGTTTATGATAAACGACTGACTGACGTGGTGCGCTAAGTCAAATCACTCTGACATCTACATCCACAGCAGAGTCGTAAGAGTTATTGCAGGAAAGATTGACGCGGTGAGCAGGATGAGTGGCTAAGTGATAACCTCAGACCGGCAATTGACAATACGCTTCTTATTCTTCTTCTTATTCTACTTCTTCTCCACTACCACCACCGCTACTTCTTAATCAGTGCCCAGCTGAGTTGGCGTGCACTCTGACTGACAAGAGAAGGCTTCGTTGTATTTCACACAAAGCTGATTTCTATCGCGAAGGTTTTCTGTAGTAACCTTGGGGAGACTGACAAATTGTGGCAGGTCGCAAACCTCAGTGCATGTCACAAAATAAAGGAGTCCGTGGATAGGGGGAAAATTAAGGGACAAACAGCAAGAGTCCATTGTGAGTAACAGTTCAGGTGAAAAGATGAGTCCCTTGCCCTGTTCCGGTGTCACAAATTGTGCCCCAGTCTTCAACTCTTTTACCACAATTAAATCAAGTAAAGACGTAAGATGATTATTATCCCAAAGTAAAATTATGTCATCTTCAAGGCAAATGTTTCCGAAAATACTTGGTGAAGCTTCATCTCCCCTCTCAGTAAATGCCATTTTCCCACACATCAGTTTCTAGAGTGGCTTCTTCGCAGTAACTGCTGTAAAAGAAATCATTAATTCACTATTTACCTTTTTAATCAATATTTTAATGAATGGATCTTTTACTAGGACCACACTGGAACCTAATCCTGATGCCATTCATCAGGCAGTTAACTTTGAGGGAATAAATAAGCCATTAAAGCAGTTTACAGGCTTCCGTACTTAAAAATTCGATTTTGATCAAATTTGCCTTATTTACTGTTGTTCCCTTATTTGATTGCCATTTGCTAACTTTAAATCACAATTTTACGCCAACAGCTCCTGTCCGTAATGCAACAAAACCATGAGATAATGATTAATTGAGGTGCATTAATCTTCCTGACCTATCATAAGTCTCAAAAGGCCATCGAGAGGTGCGTGGGCATAAACGAAGTCGGCTTAGTTTTCTGAAGAAAAAGTGCTGTGACACCACCAGCAGCAACAACAACAACCATGGTTACTATAGGCGGCAAGAAAGAAGGATTGTGGTGGCGGGTGGAGGAGTCGTTCTCGCTCCCCTTGCTAATCTCATTCATTTCTGCTTTTTTACAACCTGACGGCATTTTCAGGGTGCACACACACATCTCCATGCGTCCGTAAATCCCCAGACGAACAAGTGTTCTCTCGGGCCACATCTTGGCATGGAGTTTTTCAGCACCTCAAACTGTAAATCATCTTCCCCAACCCCAAGTGCCATGAGTGCACGTCCTAACAAATGACAGCGGAAGGTAGAAGCTCGTTGTCTTCTATTCTTATTGGTTAATCTGGCACGTAATTCATCAATCCCCACCACACTCAGTGCCAACGTTTATAAAACTTAAGCAATCGTGCGCATTGCAGTAATTAGCCTGCCACGAAATCCCAATGAGGCAGACTGGCTGTGCTGGGTGATTATATACATACCCATGTCTCTTCATATGTCGCGTAACTTGCTAGTACTAAATACACTAGTTCCTAATTGTTTTGTTGACTAAAATCCCTGCGCCCGGTGTTGGATCCACCACATCTTACTTTTTCCATTATGCGAAAAAAATTAAATTTGGGTTCAGGCACAGCATTTGCAGCAAAGGGACAAATCTTTTCGTAAGTACTTGGGTTTTATCCCATCCTAATACATTGTCCTCTACATTATTTCCAGAAGGTGCCTTTTACATGGAAGACTTATAAGTGCCTATTCCAGATCCGGTGTCTTCGCTTTCGTGCATAAAGAACTCTGCTGCAGACATGATTAGAACACTGGAATCTCGACAGAATGCTGCGTCGTTCTAATGAGATGATATCTGGATGAAGACGAACATCCACACACAGAGCCCTTACGAACAGTTCCAAAGGCTACCACAAGACTACGAAAATGTGGCTCTGGTATAAGCAGTTGTGGTAAAATGCTTCGTAAGTAAAAGGCGTCGTGAAACTCTTTGGAGTTCCTTAAATGGATTCGAAACAAGTGTCTGTCTGTGTTGTTTAATTAGACAAAGCCTTTGGAAATTACTTGTCCTCATTCGTAGTACAACGAAAGGAGGATTTTCTTATTGACTGGGTAAAATGTGGTGGTATATGTTTTTTTTGTTTTTTTGTTAACGTCTGAGGTTTTGGATTTAAAAAAATGAGGTAGGAAGGCCTTCGGAAACTTGCAGGACGTCGAAAAAACTTCTATTCATCGATCTAACTCTGAAACCCCAAGTGCTAATTCGGGCTTCTCCTGGTGTCTTCCCCCAGCTTTATTTATTTTAACCTAACGTAATGCAAAATTTCTACATTTCTGCATTTACCGACCGAAGCTCCGGCCACAAGCCTCGCTTTATTATGGCCATCATAACCGTTTAAATATGCATCAAGGGCTGACGTCCAGCTCTTGAGTTGGGATGGGGGAATTGGATAACAAATCGAGCCATCAATGACCCCTCCTCTTTAAAAATGTATGACTGCATCAATTTTGTGTTCGTAATCATCGATGGGAGGGCCAAAGCCTGCTCACTTATGCAAACCATTTCTGTGCGGGGTACAAGGGTAGGGGTTGAATACGTATGGGGGGAGCGATGGTCTTGATAGATTGCTTCCTTCGCTGCTTGTGAGTACTACTGGCCGATGAATTGTTTGGTTAACGACCAGGTATGCACGACTGTCTGGTTTGGGTTTGTTTCTGCAAAAAAATCATGAACATACTGGACAAACAGACTGTAATTCGAGGTAATTAGTCGGATATGGATGATTGGTTCTGGATTAGTTAATGAAAGAATAATTTGTAGTAGCTGACGACGTGGGCCGCACTGCATGTGGTAGTGCCCTACCGAGGCTTAGTTGCTCGCAAACTTGTTAATTTAGCACCTTACACTCGAGTAGTCATACTGTCAAATGAGTTCAGATAAGCGTCAACTCCAGAACCTACTTGAAAACGACACAACATCCATGGAATTCACTTAATTAAACTGCATCAATAAATTATGGCCAAATGCTGCCATAAATTTTGGTCCAAGTATTTAAACCGTCTTGTTAAAAGGACGACATGGTGCTATCCCCATGGTTACATGCACCATACTTGTCTGGTTCTGGCCCTCTGGCCTCCATTCCTATCGCGCTTGCAAATGCTTAGCGCACGAATAGGACAAAGCAAAGTGGAGCGAGCAGTCAGAATGAGCCTGGAGGTTTGTCGTTGGCACTTCCGCCTAGGATTTCAATAACGTCAGGACGGCAATTCATGCTTGCCAAACTGTCCCTATCCTTTTTAAACTTGGCCTATGGGCATCAACCCTCTTTGAAGAAGACTAAGTCCGTTAATTCATTTAAGCTTTTGTCTACCCGATAATTCAGTTCTTATTTTAAGTAATCTTCCAAGGTGTCGAGATAAATTTGCTAACTATTGAGCGCATTCTTACAAAGTAAAAATAGAGAAAAGCACCTTTCTGTGAATTCACTTGGTTGGTAACTGAAACTGGGCATTCTTATTCTCAAGTGACGCAGTTTTTTGCTTTGTGAGCAAAGCCATGAAGGTGACTACAGGCCAGGCACCATGCCAGAGCTCCGAAAATTGCAAGCTGTGTCGTCAAAGGCGATTCAGAGGGGAGGGGAGGGGAGATAATCGCACGGTTCAAACGTGCAGATGGAGGCCGCGTGCCAATCACGCCGGTGGGTGGCCCCGTGCTCCCGTGCCCCCTGACTTCTACCTCTGAAGGGTAGAGTGTTCACCTTAGGCCTCTACTTCTTACCATTCCTACGTCGCTCATGGTTACATCACTGTAAGTTTTGGCGGGTGGCGCAGATGGTCATTCGTCCCCAAAAATTTAACACGAATATTTTACATTAATGTACCCTTGGTCATTTAAACCCAAATAACATTTTTTTCGTCTGGATGTGTTGTGCAAATTCATATGGCTTAACGAAAGATAGCGCTATTCGACAGCACTCAGCGTTACTTCGCTTCTAACATTGAGCGAGTAGAACACTTCCAATCTGAAGAGTTTGATTATTCGTTCTAGTTGAGTCTGATTTATACATTCTTTCTAATGTCTACAGGCGACGATTTCAAATGCTGAAACAGAGCCAATACCCAGAACGCGAACGCACAAGCGAGTCATCACCGGATGGCAGGAAACTGATAAGGCTAGTATTAAGGACTGGGTACTCTTTGAAGCCATCCGCATGTGCTAACTTTGGTATTTGTTACTTGCTGAAAGAGGAATCAACTGTCGCATGATTCTCACATGCCACCTTCAGGTTTGGATGAGCATTACATGATTTTGGCCGTTTATGTTCCAACAAAACAAAAATAACACCACTTGATCTCGTCAAGAGATTAGGCAACAGTAGTAGCAATGCCCCATGTCTATCAGACAGTCCTTCCTTGCCCCTAATTCTCACTTTAAAAGCGATTTTCGTCTCTCTTCCACTCCGTGCTCCCACCCGCCAGCCCGCCCCCGCCTCAGTTTCACCTCCTGGTGCGCACGTGCGCACGCATTTCCCTGCTATCATGACAGGTTATCTTGCTCTACATGTGCACGCTTTCGTGCTCATGGGTGCACAGAAAATGCAATCAGGGTGGAGTTGAGCAGGGGCATTTAAATTACCATCAATTAAGTCCTTTGCTCAACAAGCAGCAACAGCTTCCCATCAACCCAACTCCACCACCACCATCAACACATCAGGGAATGCGTGCATAATGCAACGTTTTAGCCCTCGTTGAATTTGTCCAATTTCAAAGTGGTACGAGGGGAGTGGGGAGCAACTAATGATAAGCGATCCGAGTTAATGTGAAATTTGTGTAGTACGCAAATGCAAAATTGTTGACATTAGCGTTAAAGGCGGCGCCACTGGTATTAAGAGCTTGGTATAGTTAACTATATTTGCAGCTATCATGTAAAAGGAAGGTGGGCCACTGGAAATTAAAATTAGTCCTCAATTTTGCTTACTGCTTCCAGGAAGTAGAATTAAATGGTACCAAGTGACTTCGAGTAATAAAATAGAGAGCGAACAGATCAACATATAAATAAGTTTGTTTCCTGAGTGTTTACGAAGATGAGGTAATGTTTATCAAGCAAAAGTCGAGTTTTGATTCAGCGAATGAAAAAATCAGCCATTTCTAAAGGCAGAGTTAGGTGAGCTTTGCATCGCTAAGCGATGCATAGATAGTAAGGACATTTCTTACAACGATGAAAATCTGATGGACGTGTCTAATTTCATCAATTTAGACTTTATGGAGATTAGCTTTTCCGTTTCCAACACGCGTTGGCTTGCGCCATAAAAACCGAAATAAAGAATAAAAACATTACAAAAGCAAGGATGACAAGAATATGTATCATTTGTAAGAAAAAATCACTGCATTATTTTGAAACGGGGATAACAGCAGAAGTTGAAAACACATCGATTGCCACAACGTACATACCATGATAGAAAATCCCCCAGGAAATTTTAACTTCAAAATAACTATGAGCCACAGCAGGTTTTCGTTCACGAAGACATTCCACTTACTCATTTGCGCATGTAGACAGTTACTTAAAATTAACGTAAAGATTTTAAAAATGAAAGAGAGGCGGGTGTGGACACCTCTGCAACGACGAAATCAGCCAATCAATGCAAACAAAATAAAATTCTGCTGCACTCCACCAGAAGAAGACTGTCGACTGTTTGTGCAGTTCGCTTCGCTCAAACAGCATTTCTCCACGTGATCGCCATGACCTACATCTCCACGTGTCCCACCGGGCATGTGGCGATGCAGCACCTCCGTTCGCCAACTGACCGCTTTCGAGTCAATGCGTCAAAGGTGGAAGTCAGTTGGGCAGGGCCTACGTTTGGTCGCGACTCCACATGCACCGTGCTCCACAACGCAACGCATGTCACATAGTGAATTGTAGTGTCATCTACGGCTTGTGCAAGAGCCAAGTGAGCCACCAGAATTCACAGCGCGTGCGTCTCTTTGGATTGCCGTCGA